GAGTGGACATATTTTTTGAGGACAACAAGTCAACCCAGTATTCATGTTAAAAATGTAAAAGTAGCTACTAAAATGGTTTTTCTAAAAAGCAGAATGTATACATTCAAACAGAGAGAAATAGAAATCTCTTGAAAGCAGAAAAGAAAAAAAGCATAGTGAATCATAAACCAAAGTCCAAATAAATTAGAAATGATTTTACATGCAATCAAGTTAAAATGCAATTGTTAAAAGACAAATTCAGATTAGATTAAAAGCAAAATAAAACCCACACATACAATTGAATCTCTAAATATTCACAGACGTGTGTTTCATTCTCTTTAATACCTTCTTCAGTGTCTTAGCAAGAGAGAAGTACATTTTCATTTGATTTGTGTCCTCAAATCATTTTCACCTGTGACATTAAGCTCAGCCTATAAACAGAGGTTACGAAATAGAAAAAAGGGAAAAAAAAATCTCTTTCAAACCAAATTTCTCCTTTTCGGGTGATAGCCAATGAGTTAATTTTTCTGGATCAGCTTTAAAAATTTTTATCTTTGGAGTACTTTCAGATGACCTACAACATTTGTAAAAGTTAGAAGCTGTAAGATTTATTTTTCACTCCCCACTCATTGTTATTCTTCTGCCAATTTTGTGTCTCAATTAAAAAAAAAAAAATTCTTTGAAATTCCTGACTACAAAGAACATCTCTTGTTACCAAACCTGTAGACTATGACTGATTGTCAATCATAGTGAGCACGACTTCTGAATGCACGACATGGGTCAGTTTTTTGGAGTTCAGAATTTCTTTTAAAAAGTCATTTGCAGACATACGTACATGCACATCCCAATGGTAGCTCCTACAATTTTATCTAAGAAAAAATACGAGTTTCAAAATCAGATACAAAACACAAATTTTGAGCACAATAATGATGTCCAAAAGATGAAGAAAATTTAGTCAATGGACTAAATGGACTTTTCCCCTAAGCCCCATCTTGATGAAAATATACAATAGCCATCTAGCCCTAAACAGTGTGAACTGTGTTTGTTTTTTAAAGTGGACAGTGAATATAGAAGCAACTTTAATTCAAGACCTAATCTAATTCTTATTAAACCTAAAAGTCAGACAAATTCTCTGCCCTTCGGAATATAGTTGAAAAATAGCTTTGTTTGCCTACCCCAAAATATTGCTCACTCTTCAATGGAAGGATTCCTTTTTTTTTTTTTTTTTTTTTTTTTGAGATGGAGTTTCACTCTTGTTACCCAGGCTTGGGTGCAATGGCGTGATGTTGGCCCACTGTAACCTCCACCTTCCGGGTTCAAGTGATTTTCCGGCCTCAGCCTCCCGAGTAGCTGGGATTACAGGCATATGCCACCATGCCCAGTTAATTTTTTATTTTTAGCAGAAATGGTGAGGGGTGGTTCTCCATGTTGGTCAGGCTGGTCTTGAACTCCTGACCTCAGGTGATCCACCCACCTCGGCCTTCCAAAGTGCAGGGATTACAGGTGTGAGCCACTGCACCTGGCCAGGATTCTATTGTTCATCTTTATATACCTGACTCACTGCATAGTGCTTGATGGTCAATAAGTTTGTTGAATATGTGAATTTACACAATAAATTCCCCCAAAACTTATTTCCCTTAGGTCATAAAGACACTTTCTCCTATACTTTCACCACATTAGCAGGCCAGAAGAGTTTATGTTCTGACAATCTGACCCAACATTATTCTCTGATGTCATTTTATGTATAAATAAAGTAGTTGAGGCCTAAAGAAAAGTCAATACATTCAATCAATCAACAACACTATGAGGTATTATGAAGATGACCAGCAATTCTAACTCTTATTTTGGATTTTAGAACAAATTAAAATATTTCATTGTTTAAACATGAAGAATAATTTTATTTTAATAAATTATTTCCTTTTATTAAATAAAATTTAAAAGATAATTTTAAAAAAGACATCACTTTATTTGTAAGGCCTTATTCAAAATGGCAGGAGACAAATTTCACAGGTTGAAAACTTTTTATTCTATTTTAGTAATCACTGCTACGTTTAAAAATGAGTTAGAGCTGGGCACAGTGACTATGGAAGCTGAGGCAGGAGGATCACTTGAGGCCCAGAGTTTGAGAACAGCCTGGACAACACAGCAAGACTCCATTTCAAAAAAAAAAATTTTTTTTAAGCCGGCATGGTGGCACATCCCTGTAGTCCCAGCTACTTAGGACTTGAGCCTGGAGTTCAAGGCTGCAGTGAGCCATGATGACATTGCTCTCCAGCCTGGGTGACAGAGCGAGATTGCAACTAAAAAAAATAAAATAAAAAAAAAAAAAAAAAAGAAAGAAAAGAAAAAAAGTGAGCTAGAAAGTCAAGTAAAAGCAGTGAAAAGATACTAGAATTAGATTTGTTGAGCAATCAGGTAAGCAGGATAAAGAATAATTTTAAGTGATAACAGACTTCTATTTTAACTGTTTCTTATACATTTCCTTGTTTTGATGAAGGTGAGCGATAGCTGGTAATCAGAATCTTATGTCACTTTCTTTGCTACCTATTGAGTCATTTAAGAAAAGTTTTGTTGGAAGAGAAAAGGTGCTGCCTAAAGTAACTTTGAAATATATTTTGACTGTGTACTGTAAAGTTAAAGATGAAGTGTACTCCAGTAGGTAAACTTAACATATATATGCTAGGTTACCAATTCTGAAACCACTTTACATGTGTACTAGGGCTGAAAAAATAGGGAACAAATTATGATGAAAGTTAGGTTTCAAACTGGCAGAGAAAGACGTTACAAGTAAACAAAAGGGAAAAGCTAGAGTGAACCCCATGGTGCTGGATTAGGAGTTGTAGATATCCATATCAACTCCTTTTTATTTTAAATATATACAGAAAGATACAGAAATCATTATAGATGTGTGTATACCTATGTTAGTCCACATTCATGTATGTCCTAGCTCTGTTCACTGAGGTCTAGAAGCCATGACATCCCAGTAACAACAAGCACATTCAGCACTCAAATCTCGGATTGCAAATACCATCTTCCAATAAAAGGAACAGGGTTCAGGCTCTTTGGAGAAATGACTGATTCTAGGGCTGAGCAGAGAAAATACAAGATGAACCTGGGGCATCGTGATAGTGCCAGAAAGCAAAAGCTAAAAAGAAAAAAAATGGGAGCATGCCAAAAAGACATGGCTCCCAACGGCCAAAGCTAGAACAATCTGAGCAACAAAACAAATAATTACTGGAAAGTACCACCAAAAAAATAAAATACATAGCTACAAGTAAACACTAAAAAAATGACTAAATTGATCTCCCTTACATTAGAATTCCAAATAATGTACATAGATACCCCTCCCAAGGAAGTGAAGCTTAACTCCTCTCCCTGTGAGCAATGTTGGACTTAGTGACTTGCTTCCACAGAATAAAATATTAAATGAGAAAATAGTAACTTCATAATGGCAAAACCTGGCACACACCACTTAAACCAAGTGATCAAGGTTAAACTTAGCAGTGGTAAGTCATGTTGCTATCATGTACATATTGATATGAGAAAGTTACCTCACTTTTGTGGTATTCTTCCGTGGAAAACTATAATCCCAGTATGCTCATGGGAAAATATCAGACAAACCCAAAGTAAGAGATGTTCTACTAAATATCTAACCGGTATTCTTTAAAAATGTCAAGATCTGTAAAAACAAGGAAAGGCTGAGAAACTGTTAAGAGTAAGGAGGCATAATGATTAAATACAATGTAGTGTCTTAGACTGGGTCCAAAACCAGAAAGGGGGCATTAATAGAAAAGCTGGTGAAATCCAAATAAAGTCTGTAGTTAATAGTATTGCACCAATGTTAACATCTTAGTTCTGACAAATGTTCCATGTTTATATGAAGTATTAACATTAGGGGAAGTTGAATGGTATATGTGGGAATTCTCTGTATTAACTTTGCAACTTTTCTGTAAGTCTAAAATTACTCCAAGGTTTTTTAAAGTGTTGGAGTAAAAAATGATTATGATTATTTTAGAGTATAATACTTATTTTTTTTAAAAGTTAACTGCAAAAACTTCCTCAGGCAGGTCCTTCAGGATGTATTTCAGAAGCATTGTTAACTTAGTAAATGACAGCTCCCTGTGTTATTGTCCCTGAAGACCTTCCAGTGGGACAAGATGCGGAAGTGGAAGACTGTGACATTGATGATCCTGACCTTGTGTAAGCCTAAGCTACTGTGTGTGTTTGTATCTGTCTTTGACAAAGTTTAACAAAGAAAAAAAATTAAAAATAGCTTATAAAGATATATTTTCATACAGCTGTACCATGTGTCTACACTGAAATTACAAAAGTCAAAATGTTAAAGTTCATAAAGTAAAAAAGTTATAATCAGCTAATTTATCAAAGAATTTATTACAAATCTAGTATAGCTCTGTAGTCTAAGTGTACATTGTTATAAAGTCTATATTCTAGGCCTTCACATTCACTCATCACTTCCTCATCAACTGACCCAGAGCAACTTCCAGTCCTGCGAGCTCTCCTTATGTTAAGTCCCCCATTTTTTTTTTTTATCTTTTAAACAGTATTTTTACTGTACCTTTTCTATGTTTAGATACACAAATATTTACCATTGTGTTCCAATTGCCTAAAGTATTCAGTAACTTGCTAACCAGGTTGGTACAGTAGCAGCAATAGGCTATACGATATAGCCTAGGAGTGTAGTAGTCTAGACTATCTAGGTTTAAGTACATTCTATGATAGTCTCATGATGACAAAATCATCTAAAGGACACATCTCAGTACATTATCCCAGGCATTAAGTGATGCAAAATAGTACAAAACACTAGTCTATTCTTAAGATGATCATCCGAAAAATTTAAATGCATTTTACAAGCTCTGTATAACTAGAGCTTCCACCATTTCTTTATAAGTTACATTTAGATGAGTAGAAGCTATTCTACTATTAGCTACTGAAGAAGTAAGCAGAAAGATATTGTTGCCTAGTGGCATAAAATGCAGGCTTATTGACTTTTTTTTTTTTTGGTGAAAGATTACTCTGAAAGAGCATGAGGAATATGCCTAATTTTCCTCAACATTCCAGTATATACTGATCACACTTAAATTCATTCTTGACCTAATTTCATTTTCATAATTTACCAAATTTTAGCTACTACTACTACTTTAAGAATTTTTGTCTTGAAAAAGTTTAAGATTTAACATGGGAAAAAGAAAAAAGGGAAAACATAACTAAGATAGGCTTTAGGACAACTATGTACTACTACAAGTATCTTTTATAGTTGTATAATTGACAATTATAATGATGAGAAGATATTAAAAATAGATACCAATCCTAGGATTTTCAATTTTTTCAAGGTAGGAAACTGTATTATTTCACTTTTGAAATCAGACATAGATATATTAGAAAAATCAATTAAATCAACAATTATATACAGCTGTAATTTTATGAGACAAAATCTTATTTAAAAGCACCTTTACAAAAAAAAAAAAAAAAAAACCATGCGATATAAAGTAACATGGGACACAGGAATCAATGACTTAACTCCCACAGCCCCAAACTTCTCAACAATGTTCTATACACTAGTACAGAGATAAAAAAGATGAAATAAAGTATCTTGAAGAAACAGAGTATCTTGAGGACATGGTAAGACTTTTTCTTAAAGACTTAAAATACAATATTCTTTTACTTATAAATTTGGTAAGAGTCCTCTTAAATATTGGAGGTGGTAGTGCAGACAACCGTAGTACCACATTACCAAGGGTAAAGAAGACTAATGTTTAAAAGGGCTCGGTCAAAGAAAAACAAAACCTGTACTTGTCATGAGTAAGGGATATTAACAATTCAAAAGGGAAAAACCTATAAAACTAGATATTTCAATTTATGCTTGGAGTTTAGAAATTACAGCTAATGCATTTTCTGACTTAACTAGAGCTTTTTGTATTAGGCAAGTTAAACATAAAAAAAGACAAGGACTACTTCGATTTTACAACTGAAAGTGATGGAAAACAAATGTATAAAACTTACCTTTATAAAATATATTTATGATATATTTCTGATAATAGCAAACCAATTATAAAACAAGAATTAAAGGCATCCCTTCTCTTATGCAGTTGACAAAAGTCTCCCTATATCTTTAGTTTCTGTAATTTCTACTAGAAAAAAATTTAGAATAACTGTACATAAATCATATATACATAGAAGTATTAACAATAAATGCTACCTTTTAAGTTCTAACTGGCCACAAATGATTAATAGGTGTTTGTGAAACAGAAGTCTACTATCATTTGCATTAAGATAATACCAATCAAGTATTAAGGGTTAATAAGAATACACTTAAATTTGGTGCAAATTTAATTTTATTAAACCTTACAATGAATATTGTGGCATATGATTTTTCCATTGTGTGACAATTTATTAGCTGGCATCTGAATACAGTACTTCTTTTGGAAAAATACACAATGGGAACTGACAAAAGGGAGAGAAACTAGTTGTTTAGTGATACATGAGGGCAAAAAAAAAAAAAAAAAAGAAAAAGAAAATAATGATGACCAATTAGTTTGTTTCCTTAGTATCTAACTCTAAAATGATTAAAGTTCTAGGCAATAATGCTGTTGTTACAGTGTACAAGAATACGTTATCATCTCATCCAGTCTGCACAATTCTAAGAATAATTATAAAAATTATCATATTTGTAAATTCAGCCTAAGGTTTCTGTTGGGCAATATGATTTTTAAAGAGCTACTTTTCCCATATAACCTAAACAATTTTCCCAAATCATGGTAGCCTGGGGTCTCTATACACATTAAGGTAGTCACTTCACAAGTGAGCTATCACTTAAATTCAAATTCATAAAGGGCGCCAAATTATCTTTGATTTGGGTTTATGCCTATCAGATTTATGAATAAGAAAAATGACTATTTTTAAGTCCATAGTCTATTTGTCTTTATAAAGTAGACTGGCATCTGAGTAAAATTACCATTTCTTTTACAGAAATGATCAAAACAGTGGAACATCTAAAATTCAGCAGGCCCCAAACGGTTATTTTCATAGAAATGTAATAAGAACTTACACATTAACTCCAGTCAATACCACCATGCTACAGTGTACAGTTTAGTTTGACTCACATGAGTGTAACAGGTTCATTATTAAAATTTACTCATCTGTGGTTCAAAAAATAACAGAAATTTAAGTATTTTATCATAATCCATTCGTAATTTTGAGAATACTTTCTGACAAAGGCTTTATTAGTGTCTAAGTTCACATTTATGAAACAATTTCCTCTAAAATAAAATAAAATCAGGGACAATTTTGAGCTATTAAACTGATTTTTCAAAACCTCCCAATGGCATCTGTGGAGATGGTAGAGAAGGGGAAATATATTCTAAGTGAAATAAGTCATTTCAGTTATCAAGACTGAGTTCTAAGTTATCTATTTTTAGTGGTACAAAAATGCTAAAGAAATCCTTATTTTACACCGGAGTTGTACAATTCAAGTTCAGCTGTAAAACAGTAAGACATGTGTGCCTTACTCTAAGAGCATGTAAGCCCTCCTACCCAGCCACCAAAGAGGAAGAGGAAATACTAAATCACTTAAAAATCCAATTGTCATCTTTTACCCCAAATTATTGAGATCTCCTGATATAATTTACTGTAATGGCAAAGTTTTCCTTTATAAAAATAATAGCATATACATATATAATTATTATACCACAAAGTTAGAGGCAGATGATTTGAAAATACTGATATTTGATATTTCTAGAATATTGGTCTAAATCACAAAATATTCTTAATATATGTGACAATTCAAATATTTCATCAAATTTACTAGTAAGAGATAGTAAAACCTCTTCATCAAAAGGTTGGAGAGCATTCATTCATATCCCAATTTACTGTTTCTTAATGGTGAAATCAAATTTGCAACCTAGTAAAATGTGTGAGAATATCTTTTAAAAATTAAACCTCAATTGTTTAACCAAAAAGTCAAATAATGTTCTCTTGTTTATTTACTACTCTTCATGACAAGGTTTTTACTAAAGATAATGACAAACCTAATGTGACTGTTTGCATTGATGATTTAAATAGTGACACTAACCCTCAGAACAAAATGTCAACACAAAAATCCAAGTGAGTAATCCAGCTCATTAAACTCACAGGTAAACTGAGTTTTTCTCAAATCAGTAAGGAGCTTTTTATTCAGAACAACTTCATTAAGACATTTGCAGGGCAAATATGCCATCATAAATTTTATTCTGAAATACAATAAAGTGCTGAATGATAATTACCTGAATCTTTTTTAGTACTTTTCACTTATCTTAAGTTAAAAGAGCCCTTTCTGTGGCATTAGCAAATCTGTGAGAGAAAGAGAAAGAAAGAGAGAAAAGACAGTGAGAGAGAGAGAAAGGAAAAAAGGAAGAGAAAAGAAAAGCTAACTTCCAGTAAGGGAACAGGAAGCACTGCAACCTTTCATGTTTAACTAGGGTGACAAATAATTGAGACCAAAGGAATCAAAATAATTCATGCAAGTTATCTTTAAAGGTATACGTAAGCTTGAAGAAAGAAAGAACACTGTTACTGACCTTTGATATTGTGGCAGTAAATTGCATACTAAAATACCTTAATTATCCTAGATGCCTAGATCTGGCTTGGCAAGCATCATGCCACTGACATGCTTTAGCTCTTTTTGTAACTAAAAGTGATTTGCAGTTCAATTACTGAATATTTGAATGTGACTCATTAAGCTGTGTGATAAACTTTGAAGTTAAATTTAAGCAAATTCTCTACACCTAGTCACACCATCAGCACAAGCAGGACAATGCTGGAGCAGCATGAAAGGTGGGTCACTTTAAAAAGATTCTTCATTTTACTACATGATATATTAAGATGACAGACCTAAATTTCAACTGGGTTAATGAGTTAGAATAGATCTGCTTCCCAAATTTAGCACACAATAATTTCAGTGGATTAGAGAAAGAAACCTCAGATGTGAAGAAAATGAAGAAAAAAAACAAATAAAAAAGCTTGAGCTAAAATAGCTAAACTGCAGCTCTAAAAATTGTCATGCTACAGAGTACTTTCAAAAAAAACTAACTTTGTAACAAACATAAGAAAACAGTGTTTTGAGTTGAAGTTGACCAACTGCTGCATAGAAAATATGCTAACATACAACAGTCAAGTTTAAGCCTGTGCATAGAGAAGATAAAGCACTTATGGTAACTGCAAATGGTAACGAGTCCTTAAAGTTTGTACAACCTAGCATGGCTCCATAAGGAAAAAACTGTAGTAGAAATGGTTAGGACAAAAAATAAAGTAGAAACAGGAAGGAAACTTGAGAAGAGAAGGAAGAAGCAGGAAAAAAAGACTTTCAATTGTATAAAATTCACAAACCAGTAAAGTATAAAGACACCATGGAAAAATGGTTAACTCTGCCCCAAACATCCAACAGCAAACAAAACCAGAATGAATAAGCCTTTGGCAGACAATTTTAGAAATTTGAATATGATGTTACATTTCTCAGTAATTCACAAACAATATATTATATGGTATATTTATATTAAATACTGGGAAACCAATCCTGTAAATTTGATGCTTATAATGGTTTAGCCAATGAGAGCACGATATCAATCAAGCTAAATGAATGCTGGTGTAATCACAACAGTGCTCATTTATGAAACAACTGTTACCAATTCGTGCTTTGACAGTGCTAAAATACAGTCAAATTATCATCTATGAAGTGAAACAAAGGTCTCTAGCTTTTCTGGGATGTGCCCTTTATAATATATTCTATGATTCACTATGACACGAGCAGCAAGACACTGCAATGTGGTATGATTTATAGGCTGGATCAAATTTTTAGCTATTTCTTTCTCATCCAGCAAGTCACTAGCAGTTTGTTTGTGCAAGTTTGTGGCATCAAAATGTGCACCTGATTTAATAAGGAGATTCATGATGTCTGGATGGTTGTTAAGAGCAGCAATATGTAGGGGACTGTTGTCATCCGAGTCTCTGACGTTCACATCAGCACCACATTCTATCAGTATCGCAGTAACTTGTAGAGATGGAAATTTACAAACAGGGTACCGCCCTACACATGTGGTATTCTTGTCCACAGCCAGATGAAGAGGGCTGAAGTTATTCTTTCCCCTTGGATGCAGCTTAAGAAACCTGTATATAGTCTGCTTTTTGAAATGGTCCTGTTCTAGGGTACAAGGAACTTTCTCTAACAAGCAAATTAAGTGCAAAATAATAGAAAGAGCCTTATTTAACTGTAATGGGTCAGCGGGACACTGAGTTTGTTTGATAGCTCGCTCTATTTCAAGGACGCTTTTGCAAAGTATGCCCATAAGATCATCAAATGTAACAGTAGTACCCAGCAGGCCTTTAGCCCTATCCTGTAGCATAAAGGAAAATAGTTCTGCAAAAGATAATAAGCTGCTGGCGGTCATTGGGCTTAAAGGATCCAAATTGCTCTGCTGCATATCCAAAGCATACTTCCATAGGTTGATGCATCGTTTGAAATTTCCAGAGTCTGCATAGACAGCGCCTCTATATCTAATATAGTAAGAGGTATCAGGATGAGAAGGACCAAGAATACGTTCTCTGATTAATAGTGCCTGCATTCTCATCTCATCAGGATCAGCAATAAGACCTTCTAGCTCTTCTGCACTGTTCACCTCCTTGGCATAATCATAAGCCATTATGAGTGTTTGTGGCACTGGTTTACTAATAATATTAGTCCTATCACTGTACCTCATGTTCATTGCCTTTTTCCAGTATTTCAAAGCCCCAAGGAGATCTCTTTTTTTGTCTACAAATGTAGCTCCCAGAAGCTCTAGAGCGTTAATACGTTCTGTCTTGCTGGTCTGTGCATGGTGTGTCAGAAAATCCACAATATTTGTGTGACCAGTCACACTTGCTGAGAGAAGGGGAGTCATTCCATAACCATCCTTTTCCATCTTGGCACAATACATAAGAAGCATCTTCATGATGTCCAAACTTCCAGATTCTGCACAATCATGCAATGCAGTATTACCTTAAAGAAAGAGAAAGAAAATAAATAAATAAATAACATACATTGAGGGACCAGAATATAACGTAATATGTATATGTACTTTAGAACCTAAAGAAAAGCAGGCAGCTCTAAGCCCATAAGTAGGACATACTTGGTTTACAAATCAGAAAAAAATTCCCCCAGCACCTAAAACTAGTATCTGATATTAAACTTGCTGAATAAATGACATGACCATATTAGGTATAAAAAGACATCCAAAGTCACCAGAAGAAACTCAAACTAATCCATGGTCTCTTGGTATTTTCCATTAATGTTTTCAAGTACATATTCTATGACTTAAAAATGGATAGAATACAAATAACCAGCTATTCAAGTCACTGAACTTCCAGGTCAGTTTCCACATTTATAAACAAAGAATTGGTCTTTTTTTTGTCTTTAGAGACCAGGTCTTGCTATGTTGCCCAGGCTGGTTTTGAACTCTTTGGGCTCAAGCAATGCTCTTGCCTCAGTCTCCCAAAGTGCTGGGATTGCAGGTGTGAGCCAGCATGCCTGGCCAGACTGGCCCTTAATATACCTAAGATTCTTCAGTTTCATTCTAATAGTAGTCAGAAACTATTTTTTCAATATTTATTTTTGATTGCCAAGTGAATTTCAACTGTCTTAGCCAATATTCTTGGTAACAAACGATTGTCCCCAAAAAGCTCTCATAAGAAAAACAAATCCATGGAATTTGAAAAATATGTGGGTGGTTCAATATGAAACTTAAAAGGAGATATCTGAAGTGTCCTTTCATAATGGATTATTTCCTATTATAATTTAACTTTGTATGTACATTTTTTATTATAAATTATAATTCTTTACAGCTGTACTAAATGTTCTAACACTGTCCTTTTTTTCCCACACACAGATTAAAGCTGACAACAGGCACTGGCACATTAGTAAAAGGCCGTATGAAACATATTAAGACATCAGAAACACCAGGTATTTTAGCTAAGTTTAATGATAAACATTTTACTAATTGTCAAAATAGAAATTATCATGCCCACCTCTGGTATTTACATACAACATTTACATAGAATTTCAACACTCAGTCGTTTTAGGCATGTCTGTAGAAAAGAGGTAGCACAGCAGGCTGAGACTGAGTACTTAGAAAGACCTTCTTGCAAGGTTGGACCTATGGCTGGTAGCTGGGAACTTGGCTGGTAAACAGTTCTTTATACTGATATAACTTTCCCTAAATGATAAGGGTAGCTTACTGTACCTAAACTGTTTGTACCAACAAGGTAGTTTATACTGAATGCCTGGTTTCCTTCTGGGAGTCTGAAATTTTGGATATGAGCTAGGCAAAGGGTACCTATGTGACCAGCCCCCAATAAAAATCTTCAGCACTGAGTCTGCCATAGGCTTCCCTTGCTAGGAACATGACACACATGTATTTACATTACAGAAGAAGTGTGTGCTCTATCTGATCCCTCATGAGAGGAACAGAGCATAATAACACCTACGCAAAGATTTATCTACACCTCACCTGTGCCTTTACCCCTCATGATTTAGCTGCATGTCCTTATATTACAGCAATAAATGTTGCTTAGGAGTACAGTTGTATGGTGAGTTACCTCCAAATATGGGGGTGGCCTTGGGGATGCCCAACACAACATGTGTACCAGAAAGTATTTTAAACTTGAATACTTCAAGTAAATTGACTTTATAACTAAAGTTAGAAAAAAACAAGTTATCATATTAAAAATTGAGTTTTTCCACAAGATTATCCTGTTTAGTCTTCTACGATATCTACAAGGACTATATAATTATTCTGACCCAAGATTCAATGGTCTACAATGAAATAGTGTTTGATAAAATGTTTTAACAATGTGTAAGCCAACCAATCACTGATAGAGCCCAGAACTTCTGACTATTGATGTTCATTTATTTAAATGAACATCAATTATTTAAATTATTAAAATAATTTCAATTAAACGTGACTACTATACCAAGTATATTTTAAACACTCTCTTGTATTGAGAACCCCTACTATTCCCCATGTTTTACTAAGAAATAGGCAATATAAGAGAAATCTGAATATAAAGAAATGGCTTAGATGGCACTCTTTTCTATTCAGAGTGGCACAAAATCAAGAATAAAATGTAGCAAAAGCCAATTTAATGAACTATATTTCTGTATTTATTGAAAAAATACAGAATATATTTATTTTGAATACACACGCATACCAGGAGAAAAGAAGTAGCTTTGAAAAAACAAAGGATAAGGAAGACTTTCACATCCAGTAATGGCAAAGATACCTGTAATGTGATCACCCTCCCACTAACAACTAAAAAAGCTGAAAAATGTATTTTTAAAAATCTGCTTGACAGGATTTAAGAGATAGCAATGGGACAATATGAAGGAGAAGAAAGAAAACTAAAGTCAAATTCAAAATTTGAGGCAGCTTTCCCACAGTGGCCTCCACCAATTGTGGAAGAGATAGCTGAAAACCTGAGCAGAACTTCTGACAGCCTTGCAGGGATAGAATGGGAAAGCAAAGCCTACAGCCTACTAAGAAAGGAACTTAGAAAATTCCCCATACTTTGGGTTAGAGCTCCAACTTTTAATCCTAGGGAGTTAAAGTTAACTGAGTTAACTGCAAATAGACTAGCTTTCACAAAAACTGAAATCTAATTTAGAATCATCTCATTATTGAATTAAAATAATCCAGGATTGCTAGTATACATAATTAAAAGCCAGAAGCAAATATAAATACTATTTAGAGGAAGGTATTATCATACTAGGGTTCAAATTATTTATATTTTTCATATGTAATGCTTGGTATCCAATCAAAAATAATGAAAAGGAAATAAGGAACTATAACACAAAAAACAAAGAAAATAAGCAGCTGACAGAAAAGCCCAAAAGGAGACCCAGATAATGTAGTTTATCAATGCAGATTTTAAAACAGTAACTATGCTTAGCATATTCAAGGAGATTTTTTAAAATTGAGAATTGAACAGAAAACTAGAAACTAAAAATTCAAGTAAACATTCTAGAACTGAAACACTCTGTGGGTGGGTTTAAAAGTGGATTTACACACAGCTGAATAGAGAATTAGTAACTAGAAAATAAGTTAGATGAAAATATACAGAAAGAAACAGGGAGTGGTAAAAGAACAGAAAAGATGGAGACTATAAGATAAAGAAGGAACAATGTCAGAAGATTGTTGTGAACATACTCAAAACCAGAATTCTAGAGGAAGAAAATGGGACCCAAAGCAATATTTAAGAAGATAAAGTCCAAGAATTTTCAGAAGCCGATTAAAATTTAAACTGGAAATCCAGTAGGTTTTACAAACTCCAAGAAGGATAATAAAAAGAAAAACACATTGACGTAAAACACAGCAAAACTACTGAAAACTAGGGACAAAGAGAAAAATCTTAAAACAAGAGAATGAATGGAAATTACCTATAAAACAGCAACAACCAAACTGACAGCAAAGTTTTCACCAGGAACAACAGAAGCTAGGAGACATGGAATGTTATTTAAAAGCATGAGAGAACACTTAACTGCCAACTTAGAATTCTATACCCACATCAAGAATAAATGTCAAATAAAGAACCCTTTCAGGAGAGAAGGAAATGAAAAGGAAAAAAATTAAGATATTTATTACCAGCAGTTCTAAATACTAGATGGTGTCCTTTAGGCAGAAGGAAGATTAACCACGTGGAAGTCTGAAGATATAGGCAAAAACATCAACAGAAAGTAGAAAGAATAAATACTGATTTAAAAAATAATAGTATTTTGTAAGGCTTGAAATACATACATAGAAATAAAACACTTGACAGCAATAACATGGAAGTAAGGAGTGTAATTGGTGTTAACATGTTCTAAGATCTCTTTGTTGGAAAGATATAAAACTAGAAATTTATGCTAGCCTTTGATAAGTCAAAGCAGTGCTGTCTAGAATGACTACTAAAATAATAGAGGGTATGCATATAACTACATTTTTTTCTGTATATCAGAAAAAAATGAAATAATAATCCAAAAGGTGGCAAAAAGACCAAGGAACACAAACCAGGCAGGACAAATAAAAATTAGAAAAATACCCAGGAGATAAAAATCCAAAAATATCAGTAATTACATTAAATCCAAGTAAAGTAAATGGTCCTATTAAAAGACAGAAACTGTCAGACTGAAGAAACAAAGAAAACTCAAGACACACTGCTTACAAGAGACACACCTTAAATATATGGGTAGAAAATGACTTTAGAAGTGAAAGTTTGGAAAAAAACTCTTTGCAAAAACTAAATATTAAGAAGCTATCTGATAATAAAATATGAAAGTAGACGTTAATGGAAAATACATGATTAGCAATAAAAGGAAATATTTTATAATTATATAAAATTCAAAATATACAGATATAATAATTCTAAACTTGTTTTCACCTAATAACATAAAATTAAGTTACATAAAACAAAAATCGACAGAACTACAAGGAAAGCAAACAAATCTGCAAACATTAGTACATCTAAACATATCTTTCTCAGTTTGGAAGACCAAAACCAGTAAGGATAAAGATTTGAACCTTACAAACTTGGTTTAACTAGCATAAATAAAAGAAAGGCTTAAAAAATAGCTAAGTTTCCATCTGAAGAAGTTACAAGGAAAAACAGTAAATTAAATTAGAGAAAGTAGAAGCAAACAGTTAAAAAAAAATGAAAAAGAAAAAAGGATAAGTATGCTAATACAGCATTTTTTATATTCCTACATTTTATTTAACTGTTGCCTCCTTTTAATCTTATATCAATAACTTTGCAAGGTAGAGATGACAAACTCATTCTACATACAAATAGGAAAGAGAATTTAGTGGGAAAACATAAACTCCAACTGCCACTTTAGTGTGCTGCTCATTTCTAAGGTCGTATTTTAAACGCTAGTCATGTTAAACTTCAATGAATAAATTATATCTAATATAAAACCAAACCTCATAATAGAATTTCAACCAATCACATCATTTTCTAACTCTTCCTCCA